CTCGCTTCCCGTTTCTCTGTTTCTGTGTCTTTGGGGAGCACACATACCCTATAAAAAATATTCCTCCTTCAAAAAAAAAAAGAATTATTTTATTTTATTTATTATTATTCTTATTTTAGTTTGACCAGAGAGAGACAGACAGAAAAAGAGAACGTGAGAAAGCAAGAATCCAGGTCCAGGACTTGAACCTGTAATCAGCCATATGGGAGTCTAGTGTCTCAAACATCACACCACCTGCTGGCTGCAGGCAAGATTTTAATTAGCTTTGATTCCCAGCGACTTGCCTTGGAACTGCTGCCACACTGTCCACTTCTTGCCTTTGGTGGGTAAGTTTTCTTTTCCTTGTAATTGTCACTTATTGCTCACCTGAATGCATTTCCGTGAAGTCTCCCCGGGGGCTGGGGGTGGCGAGGACAGAACCACAGACACCTGCCAACAGTCGGCACCTCCCCACTGCCCTCTTCAACCTGACCAGATCACTCTAGCATCGGTTTTAGCTGAATGTGCCGGAAAGTTCATAAAACCAGAGCCCCTGTTAGCAATGTGACTTATCTGAGCCATAGCTGTCTTATGGATGAACATGATTTTTTTTTTTTTAAACTAATTTATCCAACCCAAAATTCAACTTTAGGAAAATATTTGTATTACCCCTTCAGAGAGAATATTTCATAGCAAGAATCTTTTGAAAAGGATCTGACTTGTTGAAGTTAATTGATGCTTTAACTGGAAGGAAAAAAAAGATACATTTAAGTTAAAAAAAAATGGTTCCTCTTTTAAACCATTATTACTTCCAGGCATTTTATGAGAAAAGGGATCACACCAACAATTCTGTAACTAATCATTTATTTTCCTGCTCTCTTAGCAGTAAATTTTTCACAATCCTTTACAGAAATACATGAAGTTCTTCCCAACCTTAATGGTGGGTTTATTTATTATTTCGGGGAAGATTTTCCTCTAAATCACTCTGGGATAGTTTCGCCATTCTGCCTGTTGTTTTGTTAAGTACATATCCTAGCATTTGTAAAATTTGGTAAATATTTTTATTGTACCTTTCTGGATAGACTCTTTTAAAGAAAGCAGGAGAAAAAAAAAACAAAACTAAACCTCCCTTGTTGAATTAAGAGTACACGAACTTCTCTTTCTTTTTTTTTTAAAATGTATTTGGCAGTTGAAAGCAGGTGCTAATTCAGTTCATTCACGATATGAGAAAGATCAATGTACATTTGAAACTCTTCTTTCTCCGGAGCAGAAAATTGTAAGGGTTGAGCAAAACAGAAAACAGAGTCCTTTTCTAAATATAGCAACGTCATATGACCCCTCTGGTGTTTGCACTCAGCATTAAGGTATTAGACACATGGCTTCATGGATGTGGCGTATAATTACTCTGGGGAAGAGGGAGTGTGACCAGCCAGCACAGATACAAATGTTGGGCTTGTGTCTGGCCCTTTTGATCTAAGGAAATAGACTCTAGAATGTTGTTCGGACGTCCCCACGTGACAGCTTGTCATTTTGGGTAAACTTTCCCACTGCACAGAAAACAGCTCTTCTATCTCTTTGGTTTTATTTTTATACCCCTGTTCATAGCAGTAGACGTTTGAAGGCCTTTTACACAGTAGGGTTTTTTGGTTGGGTTTTGTTTTTTGTTTGCTTCTTTTACTACAAGGCCTAAAGGGGAAGCTAATTCAATGTCGGTGGTTATCGTGAAATGTACATCCCCTGTAATTAATCTCTGTGAATGTGATGTTTCACCTGTTTCTTTTGTTTGTTTGTTTGTTTATTAAAGAAATCTTTATAGGGTAATTTGGACAGGGATCCTTAAAGCTCTGAATGCTTTTGAAACATCTTTATTTGTAAAGAGCATTTTAAGTGTATTGTATTTCTGGGACAAATGAAAGATTAAGTGGAGATTGAGAAATGCAAGCACTTCACCCCATTGAAATATATTTATCTGCAAATTAAAATCCTTCTAACTCTCTTTCTATGGTATTTTATTTATTTATTTTAATTTGCCATTTCTATTTTGTAGGCGGTGGATCTTTGCAGCTAAGCAAGGCTTTGCAAAGCTATGGTGAAGAACCAGGACTTGCTTTGGAGGGGGGGTGGGGTAAGAGGGGCTGATGCATATTAAAATTGAGAAGAGGCCTGCCTAAGCTTGGAGGGAAGTCTCACACTGCTATCAGTGTTTATCAGGGGAAAAATTTTTACGTTTGCCCTCTGGGCCCACAGGAGGGAAGGAGTGGGAGGGAGTAAGCAGGATTGTTGCAGCCTGGAAGGAAGCAGAAGCCTCAGCTGCTTGTTAAAAAATCAATTTTAAAAAGGAATACATTTCAAGCATATAGTAAGCTGTGGACCAGAACCGAGAGTTTGATGTTAGGGTTCCGGTGTTTCTATTTGGGAATACACCACCGATTTCCCTGACCTGTCTTTGGAACATGTCTGATAATGACACTCTTAATTAGTTGCAAATGTCCCTTATGAAAGCCATGTTTTAACACAAATCTTTTACTATATACTGAATTGTTCTTTACAACTAAAATGCATTTTTGTGTTGTTATATAGTCAAAATTATTTTTTAAAATGGTGTGTTTTTGATCAATTAGTCAAATGACTCCAAATCTCTTTACATGCCCCTTTTTTCTTCTTCTTTTTTTTGAGAGAGATTTTTGCTTTTGGGAAAGTGCGCTGTCAGAGAGACAGAGACGAACAGAGAGACAGAAAGCCAGAAATCACCTCCCAGGGAGGATAGCCATGCTCCAAACCCTGCTCCTCCATTCTCCTCTCAGGATTTTGGGCATGTACACATACGTGCCGGGCATGAGTGTTAAGTCGCCAGGTCTGGGACTCGAACTGTGGTCAACTATGTGGGAGTCCAGCGACATAACCATTATGCCGTCTACTAGTCCCAAAATATCCCTCCTTTCAAACAAAACAACCCACCCTAAGTTAAATTAAAAAATTCAGTTGGTTTCTATGACCTTTGCTTGTCTTTAAAAATAAAAATGGAATCAACTGCTTTTTTGGAATGTCCCTTGCAAAACGATAAATCATCATTTAATCAACTTCCCCAGAGGCCTTCAAAACAAAAGAAAAGAGTTCAGCTCAGTTCAGTTGCTCTATAAATTCATCCCCGAAGGTGGCATTCCCTGGGCGTGTTTTGTGCACAGTGCGGCATGCACTGAACGGTGCCAACACGCTTCCCTTTTTGAATGCTGAGTGAGGATCCTTGGCCAAAGGAAATCTGGGGCAGCAGGCATCCCTCCGGATTCCCAAGGACTGCTCGGCTTCAGGGTTTAACTTCCTTAATTGCAGTCCCGAAGCTGGCCCAGCGTAGAGTGATCCAGAGTTTCAAAGTTGAGAAAGCAGTAAACTCCTTGCCAAGAATTGTCTTCCCGCTGGCTCCTGCTGTGCAATGGGGCGCTTCCTTTGTGTTGCAGCACTCGTGACAAAGCGTTTTCCTTGGCTAACACAGGGGTCTCTCTCTCTCTCTCCCTCTCTCTGTTAATAACCCGAAGTACTTGATAGTTATTGACTGGAGGGCTTCCTAGTTTACTCTGGAAAAGGTTGAGCCCCGTCAAGAAAGGAAAGCTTCCCCCTCAATAACATTATTTATGAACATTTTCTGCCTCTTTTGGAAACCTCTGTAAATTTTAGTCCTGACTTCATTTCTGATTAATTACTTAGGCTCACAAGATAATTCAGGGACCACTCTCCACCTTGGCAGCGAACTATATATATATATATCTTTAGGAGACGAATTCACTAAAATTCTTTGTGTTTTAATATGGGGTTTCCTCATGCTTTTGCGTTTTTCTTTTCTGATAAAATCCAGTAATATTCAAATCTTTGTAATAAAAGGAGGAGGTGGAATAAAAAACAACACTATTACTCTAAGCATTTCCATTTTCTCTCAAGAAAGAAGAATTTAAAATATCCAGAAATATCTGGCTTCCCCTCCCCGCCACCCCCCTCCTGTAGTCAGTAGGTCAAAAAACCCACATGCAGTAACAGGAAGCGAACACATGAGACGAATGTTTTAAAAATTCGGTCCTATACGGATCATTGAAATCGGAATCCCTCACATTTTGCTCTTACAGAAATTGTCATTGTATAATATTTTCCAAGTTACATGTGTATTTACATGTTTATACTCCTTAGGCACAGTGAGGTTATTAAGAAAGTAGACTCGGAATGAAGACACTAAAACCACAACACTTTAGAATTGGAAACATATAAATTTGTTTATTCCAGTTCTTTAATTGTATAAAGAGATATTCGGGCTGAAGTTATTTAGCTGTCTTTCAGACCATTATGGTTCTGTATTTGCCATGTAGTTTTGTTTCTTTCTTTCTTTTTCCCTCTAATTTTTGCCAGAGGGCGTGGCGTGGGTGCTCTCAGGAGAGAAAGAGAGAGAGAGAGAAAAAACTCACCCCCCAGGGGGCATGGTCATGCCTCGGTCCCTCCTCCATCTCTCTCTCCTGTCTGGATTTTGGGCGCGCAACCACAAACACTGTCTGTTTCTTTAAGCTGCCAGTCTGGGATTCGAACCGCAGGGTCAACCATGTAGGAACCAATCGCCTTTACCACCACACCATGGACTGGCCCCTGCCATGCAATTATGTACTGAATCTCCAGGGCTTCTATTTCCTATCTGTAAAACGGGCCCACCGGGATGGATTCTAAATTTTTTTTTTTTTGCATCAAAATAAATTCCTACTGGGAACCAGCAGTTAGCGTAATGGCTATGTTGCCGGACTCCCACGTAGTTGACCGCGGTTCGTGTCCCGGACCCGGTGGCTTAAAACTCACGCTGGGCGCATGTGCGTGCGTGCCCAAGATCCCGAGAGGAGAATGGAGGAAAAGGGATTGCGGCGTGACCATCCCCCCTGGGGGGTGATTTCTTGCTTTCTGTCTCTATGTCTCTGTCTGTCTGGCAAGCGCACGCGCCCTACAGTGAAAATCTCTCCAAAAAAAAAAAAGAAAAAAAAAAGAAATTCCTACTATGATTAAAATTTAAAAATGCGAATGATTTTGCAAGCACAGGCAAGAGGGCACACAGGAGTCTAAATGACTAGTCAGCCGACCTTTTTTTTTTTTTTTAACCAATGGATCAGTTTATTTTGGCCCTGGACAGGTACTAGCTGTCCTTAGCGAAAAGGTCAGGTTTCCTGCGTTCGGGTCTGTGCGTTTTCCCCAGCCCTTGGCTCAGAAGAATCCAATTAGAGTCGATTCCTGCAGTGCAAGCGGCAGCAGATACCAGCCGATCCAGAAATGTCAGAATCTTGTTTCCTGCTTCAGTCAGCCCCCGCGTCTCCGTTTTACATAGATCTCAGCTTTGCCAGAATGGGTCTGTCGTACTTTTTGGAACCTCCTCAACCAGGTCATCATTTCAGGCTGAACATTAATGATTTATCCAGCAAGGGTTATTAAAATTGACTGTCGAGTCTGAAGAAAGGATAGTTTGTCAAACCCACGTCTTAAGACTAATTGGATATATTTTGCATGAATTGTGATTAATGCAAGGTAATTTCAGAGGATGGCTTTTGCTAATTAATAAATCAATCACATTGACTCATCTTGGTAGACTGAACTTTAAAAGTTCATTACTGACTTGCTCGAAATCAAGATCCCATACACATCTAGTTTAGTGGTTTAAGGCAGTTCTTAAGAAAGCAAACAGATTAAGCAATACTTTAATTCAGAAGCAAGTTGCTTAATCCGTGTCCTCTGAAAATAACAAGCCTGAGAAAGGGAAACCATAAAACACAGGCAATACATGGACACACTCTTGCTTCTTGATTGATTTCACGTTGACAACAAAGCTCGCATTCTTATAAAGGATCTGGAAAGGTCGAAGGAGGTATTGCCCTACCAATGGGAGGATTTCTGAAGTCGTTGAAAGCGCTAGATGCACTTACAACAACAAAAGGAAAACATACTCTGACTTGTTAGAAATGATCTGGTCTCAGGTTCTAGAGAGCTTATGGGACACATGCAGGTGAATTCTCCTTCTGTCTGCAGGAAAGCTTAGTTATTTAAAAAGTCACTGCAGTTACAGTTTCAAGAAAGCAAAATGGTTTCTGTGTTTCATACCAGGTGGAAAGGGACATACACGCCCTTCACCAGAAAGCAATAAACTGTCAAAGAACAGAGTTTCCCTGCAGCTAGGCGTCATTAGGTCAGAACCAGGTAGTACAGTTCATGTAGAACCTTTCAGGATAAAAAAAAAAGGGCAAAGAAATGATTAAATTCAAGTCCTATGTAAATTAAAGTGAAAATGATTTTCCCCAAAGTGTATTTTCTGTTACTAGGGTATTTTTTTATGTTCCATAGAGGAGCAGGTATGTAGTGAATGTCCACATACAGAGAGAGCTAGAACCTGGTTTCCAGCCCCAGAGGGCTTCACAATCACACAGAACAATGAACAATTTTTTTGTTTTTAGAGATTTTTTGTTTTTGTTTTTGCTGTAAGGTGCACGCGATTGCCGGACAGAGAGAGACAGAGAAGCAGAAAGTGAGAAATCACAGCCCAGGGGGGAGGGCCACACTGCAGTCCTTCTCCTCTTGGGATTTTGGGCATGTACACCCACGTGCCCAGTGTGAGTTTCAAACCACCAGTCCGGGACTTGAACCATGGTTGGTCATGTGGGAATTCAGCAATGTAACCATTATGCCATCTGTTGGTCCCACATACAGAGCAATTAGTTGGAAAACCACACTCCTCCCTGTCTAGACAGTTCACTGAAGTACACCTGATGGCTTGGGGCCAGGACCCCACACATTTCTTCCACATCTGTGCTCTCTGGATGGCGGCCGGAGGTCCTGGTGAGAGAGGGTGAACAGCTGTCTGAGGAGGGAGTGGGAAGAGCAGTGGGGAGGAGAGGGCTTTAGAGGGATCCAGAGCCTCAGAAACATTTCCCCACACCTTCCCTTCAGGCTCTGGACAGTAATTCCGCTTTGGGATGCAAATATGTTACGCAGAGCCAATTGGGTCTCTTCCGAGCAGATTGACATTTAGTCAGTTCTTTTCGAAGTTGGGCTTTGTGGAGAAAGGAAGGAGAGAGAAGGGAGATATAAGAAAAAGAATTTTTAAAAAAGAATTATTTAATTTTTAAACTTATTCATTCATTCATTTTAATTTGACCAAAGAGAGATACAGAGAGAGAGGGAGCGAGGGAGGGAAAGTGAGAAAGCAAGCCACTAGGTCTGGGACTCGAACCATGGTCAGCCATGAGAAAAAGAATTTTTTAATATAAATTTGTTTTTAATTTTATTTAGTCATTCCTTCATTTAAATTTGACCAGAGAGAGACAGAGAGAGAGAAAGTGAGAAAGCAAGTCACTAGGTCCAGCACTTGAACCGTGGTTGGCCGTGTGGGAGTGTCCAGTGAGTGCCCCAATCATGCCACCTGCTGGCCCCAGAGAAAAATAATTTTTTTTTAAAAAAAGAGTGATTTATTTATTTTATTCACTCATTTATTTTTTCATTTGACCAGAGAGAGAGAGAAAGTGAGAAATTAAGCCATCAGGTCTAGGACTCAAACCATGGTCGGCCATGTGGGAGTGTCCAGCGCCTTAACCACCATGCCACCTGCTGGTCCCCAGAGAGTAGAAGAATTTTTAAAAAATGAAAAGCAGAGAGAGAGTAATAATAACCTTAACGATAACAACGATCACAACTACCCTGTTCAGGTGTTCGTGAGCTGCTGGGTGTAGACCAGTATTTTCTTTCTGTCCTCACGCCCTAAGCCTCTGACTGGGTCATCTTCATCCTAGCTGACACGCCCTCAGTTTCCTAAATCCTTTAGTCACCTTTCCTGAGGGCATCTGATGCTTTTTTCCTACCTTCAACTCCCACTCTTGCTTGGGGCCGTCTATGTAGGCAGGTGAACCAGCCAGGCTAATCAATATCCCCAGCGACAAAGGGGACATGGCTGGGTTGTCCTATGCTGTATCGTCCTTATGTAACAACCCACATAGGCCTAGCCTTCCCCTCGGGATGCCATTCCATCTCTCTTAAGAAAGGTGTGTGACCTTGGGCAACCTCTCCACACAGTCCTGCCCTCCGCCATCTGTGAAAGAGGTACAATAACACTATCAAGCCCACAGCATCAGCGCAAAGAGGAAGCCTACCCGTGAAGACCAGCCATTGTTTTTTGTGGGCATTTTGGATTGTCTGCCAAGAAACCGCTGCCCATCCTTCTGAGGCAGGGACTTCCTCCAGCCTGAAACTGGACTAATATGCTTCTAGGGAAAATATTAAATATTAGTGATTCTTTTTGTTTGTTTGCTAACTGAAAAATCTAAGAAGTTTTTGTTTTGAGAAAATTTACCTCACCAATATCATAACTTACCTACTGCAGTAACTTCTAAAAGTTAAATTTGTTAATAACAACTAATTTTTTAAAAGAAATATTTAATTTTATTTATTATTATTATTATTTTTAATTTGCTGTAGGGCATGTGCACTCACTAGAGAGAGACAGAGACAGAGAAGGAGAGAGAAAGTGAGAAAGCAAGCTGCCAGGTCCAGGACATAAAACCGTAGTGAGCCAAGTGGGAGTCCCACACCTTACTAACCACCAGGCTACCTGCTGGCCCATCTTATAACTTATTTTTAGATATGAAATTTTAGCTATTAGGGCCCTTCTTGTCTCCTAAGAATATAGTAATTCCAAGGGACCAGCAGATGGCATAATGGTTATCTCTCTGGATACCCACATGGCAAACCACAGTTTGGGTGCTGGGCCCGGTGACTTAAAACTCACGCCAGGCACGTTTGCGTGTGTGGCCAAAATCCCGAGAGGACAATGGACGAGAAAGGATTATGGCATGGCCATCCCCCCGGGGCGTGATTTCTCACTTTCTGCCTTCTCTCCAGTACACATGAGCCCTATATCAAAAATCTCTCTCAAAGAAAAGAAAAGAAAAGAAAGAATATAGTAATTCCATGAAAAAGGCCCAGGTTTACCTCTCAATTTTCCAGAGTGGGTATTTAATACACACACACACACTCACCACACACTACATAGAACAAGCAGATGAAGAGAAACAATCCTTTCAACTGTAAGTAGAACACCTCACGAGGCTGATTTTGGTCATGTATTTTCTCTCTGGACAAAGCTAGGGTTTCAAGCCGAATGGTATGCAGCTATACGTAATACTGCCTTAGAATTTAAAAAGGCTGCTCTGTAGGAACCAGCAGTTGCGTAATGGCTATGTTGCTGGACTCCTACGTAGTCGACTGCAGTTCGCGTCCCGGACCCGGTGGCTTAAAACTCACGCCGGGCGCGTGTGCGTGCGTGCCCAAGATCCCGAGAGGAGAATGGAGGAGAAGGGATTGTGGCTTGACCATCCCCCCCCTGGGGGTTGATTTCTCGCTTTCTGTCTCTCTGTCTCTGTCTGTCTAGCGAGCGCACGCGCCCTATAGTGAAATAAAAAACCTCTCCAAAAAAAAAAGGCTGCTCTGCACGTGTTGCTTTCTTTCCATCTTCAGTCTCGATGTAGTTTATAAAGTCATTCCCGGGGCTGGCAAGTGGCGTGGTGGTTAAGGGCGCTGGACTCCCACATGGCCGAATACGGTTCGAGTCCTGGACCTGGCGGCTTGCTTTCTCACTTTCTCCCTCTCTCTCTGTCCCTCTCTGGTCAAATTTAAATAAATAAATAAAGTTAAATAAAATAATTCTTTAAAAAAACATAAAGTTCATTCCCTCTTGTTTTCTGTACTCATCGTATCAATGGTCTATCTTCATTTTATTTCTCCTTTTTTTTCTATCTTCATTTTATTTGAACTTTGCAGTAAATCAGTGATCGAAGGTATTGGTTGCTTTTTACGTATAGCACAGCGTTCTCCTTTTAAGTTTATGATTCCGTCTTCTATTTATAGCTATAGAGAATACTCACATTTCCCTTGTCTGGAAGGGACTTCCCAAACTAGGAACAGCACTTGGAGTGGGGGAACGGAGAGGGAAGAGGTGGGAGCTAGATTTGGAAATGGCACTTCATAGAAGATTTCACCCCTAACCGAATTGTTTTTCTTTTGGCTAGGCTTTAAGATTTCTTTTTTTCCAGGAAGGATGTTAAAAATACAAGGAAAGCAGCCCAGATTCCTTTACTATCCTCTGCTGGCTGCTGGGTTCACCTGCCATGTCCAAAGGGCAGGGGGTGGGCAGAGAGGCTTCAGAGTGTGTCAGAAGGTGGGTGGGGCCGGAAGAGAGGGTGTCCTGTCCACAGCCATTCTCTCTGCCCCCACCCACGGATGTCCTCCACGTGTGCGGGCACCAGTATGTCTCCACACCTGCAGCCTGCAAGAGTGCCCGCCTTGTGCACGCGGGTGGTGTGAAAGTCGGCGCCTGCAGCCTGGCCCAGAGAGTTGTAAAAGCTGACACAGAGACCACGTGATTTTCTGGAACACTGATCGCTGCTCTATTTTGAATCTCAAGTAAG